TTCCTGGCGATCCCGGCTTTCCATTGAACTCAGTATATGCCAAACCAAGCAGTCCTGCTGAAGCTGGTAAGTAGTGAACTTATTGTTTGGAAATTAACGACTAATATAATATTTCTAGACAATACGATATTATTTTCAATTTTAGATCTTATGAGACAATATCTCTATCAAATTAGGCAAGAAACGGCTGTTAGAATTGTTGAAAAAGTATATGGCGAGGATGGGAAGCCGAGTAAATGGTGGCTCTGTTTTGCGAAAAAGAAATTTATGGACAAATCACTATCTGGACCTGGCCAATGAGTTATTTTCCTTACGTTGTTTTAAATATGTGCATGATTAAAAAGTAAATCGGTTAAAAAAATCATTTTACCTATTGTTTTTTCATTACATTTCCTGCTTAAGATTTCTTAAGATTCCATGGGTACAGAAAGGGAAATTAAAGAAATCAAAATTTTACAAGTTTTAGGAAAGAGATATTTATTTTTTTTACAGGATACGTCACGATATTGATACCAAGTAAGCAATAAAATGATGTATCTTGCATAGTGGAGGTTACAAACAAAATAATTATCGTTTTCTGCGGAGAGACAATGTGTTTCGTCTCTTCCAGGCCGCACGACGCGAACCACCGATCGTTTGTGAATAGCGATGTCCTTTACCTAATCCACGAGAGCTCCTGCCGGCGGAAGTCTTACCACGGAGCTCACGATGCTTATGCACCGCATTGCATATCCAATTTACCTTAGGATCATTACGAATTGCCTGGAATGAAATCAGGAAACATTAAAAGTATATATGACGAACAAATCTTTAAAAAATAATTCTCAAAATTTATGTTGTGTTCAGACATCCAAGGAAGATAAAGAATCATGTGTTCATTCATTGGTGATATAAAATGTCATCATATTATAAAAAAATAAAAAAAAAGAGTATATCAGATATCAGTTCGAACATAGTAATAATAATAATAATGTTAATAATACGAATAATAAAACAATAATTTTACTTTTTAAAAATAACGGAAGCTATAAATTTGTTTTGAATATTACCTTGTGAGCAGGATCGATCAGAATAACTTCGTAGTATTTGTACGAAGAGTCTTGGGCTACCCAGTAACTATTCAGCACTCGCAAGCCACCACAACGGCGGCCAACGCGTTCCTGCAAGGAAACATTAATGAAAAATTCTAGTGAAAAAGACTGCTAATCCTCAAATTAATAATAATTTCAGACATCCAAGGAAAAAAAAGAATCAATGTTTTTCATTATTAACAAAGCTATCATCATTTTTAAAAATACACAAATGTAAAATAAAAAAAAAGTTTTTAAAATAAATATTAATAAAGCTATAATTTTTGTAATTAAAATGTCTATGATCAGAAGGTACAACTGCTTCCCCATTTTAAAATAAGAGTGGTGCATGGTACAATTCATCATATGTGATTTTTTTATGCTATTTATCTTTTATATTCTCATATCTTACCTCAGCAACTGACTGTAGTTTCCTGGTTGGTTTCAACTGATTGACACCATGACTCTTGGGCTTGCCATAGGTCGCACCCTTAGGAACTGGACGCTTGCGTCCACCACGACGTACACGGATTCTGAAGATAACAAAACCTGTACAAAAATAAAATTTTACATTTATTCTCCATTTAAGATTACATATACATGTAAAATTAATTTATCAAATATATCAGTAGATGTAGTAGGTATAATTCTCTCCACAAAACTGTCAGAGTGGTGCAAGTACAAATCATCAATTAATTTTCACATAGAATCAAATGCAAATCATATATATTCTGATATCAAGCATAATAAGGCAGTTAAAACGATAATTAATATATTACATTGAAGAATTTGCTTATTGGTTTAAGTATAAACTAAAATTTATCAGTCATGAAACTAGTTTTCATAAAATAATTATATAAGACATTTAAATCTAAAAGGAATAATATAGTTTGAAAAAAATCATGTTTCTCTGTAACTATCTATAAATTATAAGAATGTGCATTAGTCAGTATTTCAAATCCGTTCTTATTTCAAAACATCTTAAGCAATGTCTTTAGATGCTAATACAATTCTGTGATTGATTCATGACATCTTAAGATTATTTAAGACAATTTTTAATATAAGAACCAAATATGAATATTGAATAAAATCACTGATTCCAACAAAGATTTTCCACTGTTATATGCCTGAGAAGAAAACATCTTGTTGGATAAGTATTATTCACTAAATTTTATACTTGTTCTTTTTAGCTGAACTTTTTGCATAGTTCATCTGTCCTCTTTTTATTGAAGAAAAAATAAAAGGTGAACCATGTAAATTTAGTTTAAAAAAAGAGAAAGAACAAGCCTTTGACTCAGTATATTTGAATATTCTCAAATTGATATTTTATGAGCATGTTTTCTATCTAGCAAAGGAATGATGATGCTTACCTTGCTTGGCTTTGTAACCTAAACGACGAGCCTTGTCTGGTCTAGATGGTCTAGGAGCACGATGCATCTTGGTCAACTGGCGATACTGCCAGCATCTGACACGCAGCAAGAAGCGGAGCACATCGCTCTGCTTCTTGCGATAGAGCTCCTGCATATACTTATATGCACCCATCGCGGATTCCTAGAAATAAGATGATTAATGCATTATCATGATTTCTATACTATGAAAATTTCATATAAACAATTCCTTTTTTTTCTAATGAAAATATATGCATTTAAATTGTTATTTTCATCGGAGATATGTCGCGAAGTCGGTCGGGAAGAGAGAAACATCGAGCACGAGTGCGGCAGACATCCTCGAGGTTAGCGTTTTCATCGCAATGAATATGGTAGATCAATGGGAAGGTCTATGAAAAATATAAAAGGATCTCGAATTGGGAAGCTTGGCGAACAATCTGTCCATATTCCGACGCCCGTAAAATCAAGGATGATTGTAATAAAACGCGATTCGAATCACACATCACTCACCCCAAGGGAGTTACAACAGAAGGAAAGGATCCGGCTTTTGCTGAGGGAGCCACTCTAATAAGATGGCGTGTTCGTTCCCACGTCATGTTCAGAGACCTCTAAAACGCGAGACGGGAATCACGTATGCGAACATCTGTCGATATCCAGAACAAAATAGCAAACATGAAATATCTATACATATATTTATCTAAATTATCTAAATTAATTATCTAAATAGCAGAGTCCGAAAAGAATTTTTTTTAGTCTCGAAATAAATTCCTGTTTCGTCTCATTTATATTTTAAAAGTATTCTTGAGAATCCCAAAAGATTTCACTTTTATGTTATCGATTGTGAATTGTGAGCTTTTTCAGATTTTATTCTCTTTTTTTCTATTTCTTAATTTTGTATAACAATAAATCATTATTTATAAAAATAAATTATTATTTACATATATTATTTATATACATATTTGTAAACATGTATTGTGTACAAATTCATATTTGTATATATTTTTCTGTATATATATATTTTTTTTTATTCCAGAGCAAAACAACAAGTCACGATAACGTCAAAATGACATTTAAATGAATCGGAATTAATTGAAATCATTTTTAAATGATCATTTTGGAATCATTTTGATATAATGACTTGTTGCTCTGTTTGGATTAAATTAGTTCAATTTGAACATTATTACTAATTTATAAAAAAAGTGCATCTTTTATTCATGAATACAAGTTTTACAAGTTTTAATGGATCGGTTGCGCTATCTAGATGTCCATTAATTTGCATAATTATTAGCAAAAAAAAAATATTTTTATATACAGATTTTACTTTTTTTTCTTCACAATTTTCCTGTAATCTTTAATCTAAATTTATTTTTAACTTCTCTTTTTCTCTTTTTCATTACGTTTTTATTTCTTACTTATATCTTGCTTGTATCTGATTCAGGAAAGAGATGATATTTCCATTAATATTTTTATTTATCATATATTATTATCACACGTTGTATATACGTTATATATAAATCACGTTATTATATTTTTAATATTAATAAATTTTTTATGATGAACAATAACATTTCAGCATTTTTCGGTGACAATCTATTTCGATTATCGTAAACCGCATAACTGCAATATGCGAATTTGCAAGAAGTTCAACTAAAAAGTATAGAATTCTGTATCAATAAGGTAAAACTTTCAACATAAAATTTCAGCTTGTTAGATACTAATATTTGGTTATTCGATCGGATAATAAAAAAGTATCAAATAATATCGAATACTGGATATTTTTCGAATATTCGATACATCCCGAATTTTAAGTGTCATAAAATATACCTATGATTAATTATCAATTATTTATTAATTCATCAGATAATTTATAAACAACTAATTTTATACATAGATTTTACATATCTTAAAAATGTTCTTAAAAAGTTGTTACTTATAAAAAATTTTATTAGGGTAATTTCTTTTATATCTTTCATTTTCTGATCCATTTGATGATAATTTCGATTTTATCCGCTTCATTTAATTTTCTTACAAAACAAAATTATTCAAAGAGCAATCATAGCATTTCTATAATATAACATATTTTTCCTAATTACAATAAATTTTATTTTTTTTTTTTTACAATACAATTTTAAATGAAACAAAAGAATATGTCAGAAATGATTGATCAATCAACATCGAATTGATGTTGATATATCCAAGAAATTCAGCATCGATCAACATCCATCGATCGATCAATCCTTTCTGATTGAAATACGTTCAATCAATGTATATATAGATTAAAAATAAATAAATAAATAAATAGTACATAAGAGATATAGTGTTGTTATGCGAGAAAGCTTTATGCGTCTGCACATTAGCCGTTGTACCTGATTACATCCCCACGGAAGATTCCGCGGCGACGAAACGGCGCGGTCGCAATATCGAGCGACCTGGTGACCTCTGCGACTGGTGGAATTGATTATTTTCAGGTGAGAGAGTGAATCCCCCCTTTGTAATATATGTAACGTCATCTAAGGCATAACGTCCGACTAAGTAGTTCATCATGGAGAGTCGCTCAGGTAGCATAAAGGACCCGATGTATTATCCGGAAAATGATGGCACGTCGAGTGGTGGCGGCGAACAAGACAAGAGTCAACGCAGCTCGCTCGGCAGCCAGGAGATCAGCCTAGATGACAACAATGCGCTCAAGGTACCTCGCAAATTTATCACTAACTGGCGGCAGGCGTGCGATCGTACACGAGATCGAACCAAGGACCTTCTGAAAAGATGGAGAACAACCAGCAGCAACATCGACGAGCTCGCCGTCGCCCCCGTCGTCGCCTCCGAACTGGAACAACCCGGTTGGAGCGTGCACGTCTGGAGTGAGTCTGTCAGATTTTAATTTGTTAATTTTAATCATTACTTATTATATCCATCAATCCGTTCTTTTGACTAAAGAACTTCTTTCTTGCACTGATCATCTTTCTTCCTTTTCTCTCCACTGAAAAGGAGAGAAAAGATGAATCATGCAAGAAATTCAGCTGCCCATTTTTATCAATATAGATTTAACTTTAATCTCAGTTCAACTTACTCTTCATCTTTTTCTTTTCAGTTTTAAGAATAAGAAAAAGATGAAGAGTAAGTTGAATTGAGATTAAAGTTAAATTGCATTGGTAGAAATAGGATAAAAAAAAGAATAAGTCTCATTTCTATTAATGTAGATTAACTCTAATCTTAATTTAACTCACTTTTTATCTTTTTCTAGTTCTAAAAGTTAGAAGGTATAGAATAAAGCTTGCAGATGTTTTTCTGTTGAATTATTATTAGCATTTTAGTTTAAATTTAGTTTAGTTAAATTACTAGAAGTTCTGCGCATTTCTGTATGGACCAATTTTGGTTATAATTTACCAAAACGCAATAAATCCAGTTGGAAAAAAACATCATATCAGCTTAAATTGAAGACTGAGATTAGAGTTAATTTACATTAATATACAAAAATGAGAATTAATCTCGCAGTTATTTTTTACAAAATCCGCTTTCAAAAATTCAATTTTTTATTTTAACAAAATTTATAGTAGTATTATTAAAAAATTAATTGTTTCATTTTTTTTTATTTTTTTATATTTTTATTTTTTCTGAGAAAAAAAAATTTACAATAATAAGTTAACTATTAAAAAAAAGTAAAAGTTAGAAAGTTCTTGATATAATAGAAGCAAATCTCATTTTGCATTATATATA